TGAGGTCTGTCTTATCAGGTAAATTACTGTACACAGTGTATTCATTAATTTTCATTTTCATGTAGTGGCTCTATGCCTTCATAAAGGACGTACTTTTCCTTTGTTTAAGGGTATTTGGGCAGTTTATTCTCTGTTATATTCTGTACAAGTAAATACTGTACAAGTACAGTACAGTATTTTCTGAGGAAATACTCGTACTTATTTTTTTTAACCCCATTCCCGATAACTCGGCATTTTCACAAACTCGGCCACCCTTCGGTCCACATTAGGTCGAGTTTTCGAGGTTCTACTGTACTGTGGCACTGCAATCTTTGGCTATGTCTTGGGCTACTCAAATATTTTACGTTTTTGATACTAAATTAAGTTCTGAAGTATAATTTTTTTATTGTTTTTATATTTTTCAATATATTTAGTTTGTTTGTACAAAATAAAGAAATAATTTTTAACGATACAATAGTCACGATTATTATTTTAAAAAGTTTATGTTAGGCTTAACATCAATGAAAATTCAACGCAAAGCGACACGCAACAGAGAAAAATTTCAGGATGGGATAGGCTAATATATTTTTTCGTACATAATCAGTTATCCGAACAACCCCAGTCCCCAATTGATTCGGATAAACAATGCTCTACTGTATTTTTAAAATTTATTGAATAATTTTCAAAAAATAAATTAAATATGATACCACAATTAAAAATTGATATTAATATCGTTTTTATAACTTGTTTTTCTTAATTCTTTTCACTCTGTAGATACTAAGAGAGCCATTTTCCATCACGAGTTCGGATTGGTTTGATAGGGAATAAGGTAACGCCAAGAAAACATTGCCTCCTAGATGAATTACTACGTAAAGAAAACCAAGAAAACGCCACGTGGTCGGGTGCCGGTGTTCAATGGTTTCATCTACTCAGCCACTAGTGGGTCTTGTAAGTTTGGTCAGGCCTATATTAGGAGCGATCGGTGAGGAAGGAGTCTAAACTATGCCCATGTAAACTTTCTGGTGTTTTCGGGTATCCTAGAGCGGTATTCTATTAACCCAGTCTTCCATCCAGGAAGGCATCCTCCCTCGACAATCGCCCATGGATTGCGTTGCCTTATTCCCCCATTAATCCAAACCGAGTCCACTATGTGAAAAGGAAGACGCCCTTTTAGTGCCTACTGAGCGGAGATAATAAATAATAAGATAATAAATAATTAAGATAATAAATACAGTAGAGCGTCGTTTATCCGAATTAATTGGGGACTGGGGTGGTTCGGATAACGAATCATGTACGAAAAAATATATTAATTTATCCCATGTTGAAATTTCTCTCCGTTGCGTGTCGCTTCGCGTTGAATTTTCGTCGATGTTAAGCCTAACGAAGACTATTGTATCGTTAAAAATTATTTTTTTATTTTGTACAAACAAAATAAATTTATTGAAAAATATAAAAACAATAAAAAATTATACTTCAGATGTTAATTTAGTATCAAAAACGTAAAATATTTGAGTAGCCCGAGAAATAGCCGAAGATTGCAGCGCCACAGCACTAGCGAAAATTTAAATTTGCCTACTGGAATGCTTTCGGATAACGGACGTTTCGGATAACCAGCTTTCGGATAAACGACGCTCTACTGTAAATAGAAACATCATTAACCTATATTAATTTCAATTTGTAATTGTGGTTTGATATCCCGTTTATTTTTAAAAAAAATTATTCTAATTAATTGCTGGGCCATCCGACCATCATGACATTCTGTGCCGTAATTATAGAGGGATCGAAGCCTCTGGAGAGTAGTGAAATGTAAACAGTAAGGCAGTGGTTCTTAACCTCTGCCTTAATTAGTAGGTTAATGGTGTTACGGGATCTCAGCTGAGACCCCGTAACACCATTCATATAATTTTTATTGCACGGAGCATTAGCATTAATACATTCAAAAATTGATAAGCAATTCCATGTTTACTATTCTCAGGAAACAATGAAACAATAAACTAATAAAGTTTAATATATTGTATTGAATAAAATAGAAACATGGGATTATCTACGAATATAGCAATGAGAATAAATTTGAATAAAACCTTAAAATTTTTTCTTTCGTGGAGCACTCGAGGTAGGTTTGCGGAACACCTGTGTTCCACGGAAGAACTACTGCAATATGGTTACGTATCAGGTCAAAGCGTGTGTCTTCTTTTAACAGTTAAATAAGCTGGATACCTTCTTTATTTTTGGGGATTTTAGGAGCTGGTTTAGTTAAGATTAACTCTTTCAGTCCTGTAGGGCCTTTTTTTTTTTAGTCAAGCCTATTGTGGGACCAACAAATTCAAACCGACAACCACTCGACAATTTCTTAGGGTTTACCACCCATCTGGACACGTTCTCGGGTCTTCTGCAGCGGTGAGTGTCTGTCATCTGAAGCATTACATTTATACAAATGGCTTGTTCTAATGCAATTTGTATAAGCCTCTATTATTATGCAACGAGTAGGGAAATTAAGAGAAAAATGTAAGAAAAAAATAATAAAATTTTACCTGGCAACCATAACCGTACAGTTTTGATACGCCAATGTCTATGTTGACCCTCTAGAGGGCATCTAATAAACATACGAGTTTCGAAGCACATTATATTTCATTTGCAATATTTGAGCTTTTTTTTTATGGTAAGGTATCGTTACTGACTTTCATTGTTAGTAGTTAGAGTATTTCATGCACTAGATTGTATAGATATAATACTGTAAGTTTAATGTATAAAGTTTAATTATTTATGTAACAAAGGAACAAAGATTATACAAAAGATAGCACTGTCTTGTTTCACGAAAGTTTGAAGTCAAATTAACCTAGCAAAGGTAGAATTTAGAGTTTTAGTAGATGGCTATTAAGGGTCGGTGTAATATTGTCGTAATATTTCGTGAGAATCTTTGGACAGTTTTGGTCCATGGGCCTCGTGGTTTCGTATAAAAATATAACACGTGGAAACATCTCGAGACTGTAAGAATTTTAAATCAGATACACGAACCATCACGAATCTCCTTACATTCATTTAAAAATGGCGGCAAACAACAGTGTCGTCTTGGCTTATGGTGGTTTTAGGTTGTTCTTATTTACTCGTGTTTACTTCATTAAATATAGTGTGCAAAAGAAAAATATTGGATATAAGTTTTTACTAGTATCGAGAATAATATTTAATGTGGCTGGAAAAAAAGTAGAATAAAATAGAGAATTTAGAAATGAATGGACTGAATCCTATGGGGTTGTTGCAAATTTAATAGGATTCCCAGTGTGTTTAATATGTCAAGAAAAGTTTTCTAATAAAAAAAAATCGAATGTACAAAGGCTTTTTTAAATAAACATGAAGTTGTTTTTTTTTATTTAATTTATCTAAAGTATTATCATCACTTTCTTGAATTGTTTCTCCTGTCACGGAAGACTCCACTAAAACTATATATACTGTATATATAAATAAAAAAAAAATACATTNGGTTGGTAATAATTATGGTAATTTATTAGAATAGGTTAGGTTAGGTTAGAACGTGCGTCCCCACTGATTCCTTTCTTTTCTTTGCTGGAATCAGAGACGAGCCGCCATTTTACTCGTCAAGAAAAGTTTTCTAATAAAAAAAAATCGAATGTACAAAGGCTTTTTTAAATAAACATGAAGTTGTTTTTTTTTATTTAATTTATCTAAAGTATTATCATCACTTTCTTGAATTGTTTCTCCTGTCACGGAAGACTCCACTAAAACTATATATACTGTATATATAAATAAAAAAAAAATACATTTTAAGTCAAAACATGTTGAAATAATTATTTTATCGTACTATATAAAATTCCTCGCTAATGTAAGCTCATGTATACGTCTCAAAGACAGTACCTATAAAATAATACACGATATTATCTTTTGTAAGTTCTGTCTTTCTTTTCGATATTTGAAGACTAATCTGTAAATATCCGTATTCGATCGATGCCAAGCCGATCCGTTGCGTGTGATGTTATGTGACGTGTTTATATTTGACATGACGATTCATCAAGGCTCGGTACAGTGCGATTATGAGACGTATGCGCTCCGCACGCAAGTGGCTTTGTTTACTTCTTATCGAAACACGACACGGCACATACGCATTCAGTAGAGAATATTATATTGTATTATTGTTGCAATGAATAAAATGCTTTTTTTATTTACGATATTTTTTCTATCGATTTATTTGTGTCCTCCTTTTCATTGTAAAAAAATGTTGGTCACCTTAATGACATTTACTGTAGCCAGCTAAACATTCTAAACTGTGCGAGATTAGTGTATATTATACACTAATCTCGCACAGTTTAGAACGTTCAGTTGGCTGACACTTATCCCGTCTGCAATTCTGCACCCATTTTACTTTCCTCTGCTTATCTGCTATACTTATATATATTATGTTACCGTTAAAGCTCGAAAGTCATATGTTTCACTAGGAATCAAATGCGAAAAATCGCCATTGGACGTGAAGAACGATTTTACCAAAAAAGGACAAGAATTGCGAGGGGGAGGACCCCCAAATAAAGGAGAAGGATTCGATGACGCGACAGGGAGTTCGCCCGACAGAAGAGTTCGCGTCCTCGAAGATTGGTCGTGTGTGTACACTCGGATACAATTTACCGCCGATGCTCCTCCAATAGCCAGTGATCAGAAGCCGATGAGGCCAAGTATCCACCAAGAACATGTCTTCACCGAAAAAGGACCCAATTCAAGAAAGCGGTCTTCAGGTAAATACCATGCGCGAACAATTGTAAACTCTCTCTCTCTCTAAAAGCATAAGTGTAACTAGTTTAGGCCTATATAATCAATAAACGGATATTAATTTCTATAATCGAATTGTAAAGCGCATTTCTTTAGCCTAATTGGTCTTTATCCCGAGTCCAACCGCCCACAACGCGACTGCTCGCGCGTAAATTCGAACGTAACGGTCTCTGTGTCTACCCAGAAGACACAGTGGTGTCAGTCCTGATAAATTTGTCATTGCTGTCTTCGCCGACGCAATGTCGACCCTTCGGTCCTGTGGTGCCGAAGCATAGAGGGGACCCTTCGGCATTGTCACAATACAATCAAACAATCAATAAATTACTTGATAGAATCAATCATCAACCAATTAAAAAACATACAAAAAATCAAACGGTTTAAAATATTAATACAATTATGGAAATTATTATATAGATCACTGTTTTTCAACCTTCTTGAATATGCGACTCCTTTACAAGTTAAAAAAAATTCTGGCGACCCCCCAGGGCCATATTAAAACTACAGTGGTACCTCAGGATACGAAATTAATCCGTTCCGAAACTGAGATCGTATCATGAAAATGTCGTAAGGTGAATCAACTTTTCCTATACGATTACATGTTAAACCAAATAATTCGTTCCAACGCGAAAAACATACTCAAATTAAAGCCAAGTAATACATTAAAACAAATGAAAAATGCGAATTAATGTAACGTCGTATGGTGAGTTTTTGTTCGTATCGTGGAGCAAAAATATGTTCGAATTTCATGTCGTATCCTGAAAATTTCGTATGCTGGGGCGTTCGTATCCTGAGGTACCACTGTATATCAGTGATTTTAAAAACTACGTATTTAATATTGTTTCTGTTGAGACTTAAATATCGATCGAAAAACCAATTGTACTTTAAAATAAAAATGCAAAGCCTTCTCACTGAAATTGTAATTTTATTTATTGTAGTGTAGGACCTACAAACACTTGTCTTTTTCTTTTACTCGCGACCCTCGTGTAAGGCTTTGCGACCCACAGGTTGACAAACACTGATATAGATAACCACCTATGGAATTTCGGGACTTTGAGTATCTATCTGAACTGAGGGGATCGAGACGACTTCGACGATACCCTACTTTTGGACCAGAGACGAAAAATAATAAAGTTATCATACTTTTTCTGGTGATCGCGTGATATAATTGTGCAGTTAATGTTACCTATGGGGAGTAAAATGGTGGCTCGTCTCTGATTCCAGCAAATAGAAGAAAGGAAACAGTGGGGACGCACGTTCTAACCTAACCTATTCTAATAATTTGATTGGTAATAATTATGGTAATTTATTAGAATAGGTTAGGTTAGGTTAGAACGTGCGTCCCCACTGTTTCCTTTCTTCTATTTGCTGGAATCAGAGACGAGCCACCATTTTACTCCCCATAGGTAACATTAACTGCACAATTATATCACGCGATCACCAGAAAAAGTATGATAACTTTATTATTTTTCGTCTCTGGTCCAAAAGTAGGGTATCGTCGAAGTCGTCTCGATCCCCTCAGTTCAGATAGATACTCAAAGTCCCGAAATTCCATAGGTGGTTATCTATATAAGTGTTTGTCAACCTGTGGGTCGCAAAGCCTTACACGAGGGTCGCGAGTAAAAGAAAAAGACAAGTGTTTGTAGGTCCTACACTACAATAAATAAAATTACAATTTCAGTGAGAAGGCTTTGCATTTTTATTTTAAAGTACAATTGGTTTTTCGATCGATATTTAAGTCTCAACAGAAACAATATTAAATACGTAGTTTTTAAAATCACTGATATACAGTGGTACCTCAGGATACGAACGCCCCAGCATACGAAATTTTCAGGATACGACATGAAATTCGAACATATTTTTGCTCCACGATACGAACAAAAACTCACCATACGACGTTACATTAATTCGCATTTTTCATTTGTTTTCCTTACTACAGTTATTTTTTTTAATGTATTACTTGGCTTTAATTTGAGTATGTTTTTCGCGTTGGAACGAATTATTTGGTTTAACATGTAATCGTATAGGAAAAGTTGATTCACCTTACGACATTTTCATGATACGATCTCAGTTTCGGAACGGATTAATTTCGTATCCTGAGGTACCACTGTAGTTTTAATATGGCCCTGGGGGGTCGCCAGAATTTTTTTTAACTTGTAAAGGAGTCGCATATTCAAGAAGGTTGAAAAACAGTGATCTATATAATAATTTCCATAATTGTATTAATATTTTAAACCGTTTGATTTTTTGTATGTTTTTTAATTGGTTGATGATTGATTCTAT